TCAATAAAAACAGTATAATACCAATTTATGGATTAATTAAAGAGAAAGTTTTTAATCTGATTTCTGTACTGTAAGATATTTTTCATTGTTGACTGGGCTGAAAATAAAAGAATTAATTGACAATGTAGCTACTAGTAATCATGCCTAAGAAATCTCAATCTGTAGCTCTCTTCACCTCTGATGGTCTAGCTAAAGCAGGCGTTCCTGTCAGTAATATCTTCCTTCTGGCTCTCTGCACCAGTGGTACCACAACCTTGGTGGTGGCTGTCTTTCTGTTCCGGACATAATGAGATTCGTCCACAATGACCACCTGAAAGTTTTGGTTGACCAGTGCCTCCAGGCAGGGAGAGCCTGGTTTAAAGTGTTGTATAAGACCATATGTGATGATGGTAATGGCTGCTGTAGGGATGGCACTGAAACAGAGAGTTGCTTCTTAAGAAATTTGAAACAAAAATAATTATTCACATTTCCAAAATTGCTTTTTCCTGTAAGTATGTAGAATATGAACCTGGTGACAACAGTAATACTCCCATATTTTTATTCACCTTATACTACAACCTTCACTTTATATCTCTTATATCACTTACTATACGTTATATTCTGTATACTACAGACTGAAAAAAAAAAAAGATTTGGCATAAAAAAAACCCAAATAGGATACCTTTACACATTTTAAACCCTACCCAAGGTTCCACGTATAAAATCTTAGCCTGGTATACACCAGACTGTCTGGGGTAGCGCTAGCATTTTTATTATTTTTTTGCTTAGACAATCACCAATTTTTCATCAATTTTTTCTACAAATGGTATAGCTTTGACTTAAAGAAATCAAATCAACCCTCCTGGTATTTTGTTAAGCCAATTAAGTCAGTTTTAGCATTTGGCAAATTTGGAGAAAGTTTGCACTACCCCAGACTGTAGTTTTGTACCTCTTACCTGGTATCCTGCATAGACTGCATCAGGTTGATATGGTGTGGACTGACCTCTGGCAGCCATTTCTCTATCTCCTCCACCCAGGGGTATCTCAGTGAAGCCGGGATTACTATCAGCAGGGGCCACTCAGCCTTGTAGTAATAGGCTATAGAGATGGCCTGCAGGGTTTTCCCCAGACCCATCTGGAGTTAACAGTATTTGAGAGTGGTATTATATAATATGTACATATTTTAGGTGTTTAGCCAGCAAGTTGTTTTAAGTTGAATTATGCATGACAGCCTGTTCAAGTGGGTGAAAAGTTGTCACATGCTCAACTGATGCAAAGATGTAGTAAAAGTTCATATGAAGTTATGTTGGACAAGAAAAACATTACATCTACACTGCTTTGTTTTGTTATGTCTCTGCATTGCTTCCTTGGTGATCTCAGGGAGTAGTGATGGAGCAGGAGGAGGCAGGGTGATGAGGGTGCTTAAGGGAATGGTTTTACAAGATTTCTTTCATTTAAAAAAATGTAGGGGTGTGTGTGTACAAGGAAAAGATCAGCAAGATGTAACACTAGCACATGAACTGTATCAGCAGCCATTAACTTTGATTTGCAAATGTATTTTGACTTTTGAAAAATATATTACCAGTACCTGATTTTTCAAATATTTTTTGATAAAAAAGAATCGTTCTGAATCTAAAATATACATACCTCATCTCCAATCAGGCATCTGAAAAATTAAATATGACATAAAATTTAAAAATCATGATCAGTGCTTGTGGGATGGCTGCCTTTGGCTTTGTAGAAAAGGTGACCTGAGACTAAACTGTAATTTGTACGTTCACTGTATGTCATATATTATTTTTAATCTATGGTATTTTTATCATATCATCATGTAATTTAAATTATGTATACTGTACCTAGAAATAGTACATGTACCACTGGCACTACTGTCCACTAGTCTACAGTAGATAGCCAACATTCTTGAAATTCTTTATGCAAAAAGTGGTTCTTACAAGTAAAAAAGTAAAGCTAACATCATGCTTACTTTCCATCATTCCTGATACCAAAGTCTACCCCTTCCGCTTGGAATTTCATTAATCGCTGGCGCAGTTTACGCGGAAGATACGATAGTTTCCCTGTTGATTCCTTTTGGTGCGCTTTCGTGTTATGCGCCATTTTTTAAACATCCACAACGAGGCTGTTTACTGCTCGAGCTCAATGCGTTCTGCTTTTCTTTTGTATCTTAAAAACACTGAGTAACTATGTTTCGTGTAGTAGCTTCTTCATTAATAAATATTGACTGAGAATGTTGCAGTTTTCAAAGTTTTGTTCCCAGGTTGAACATATTCGAAGCACTTCTCTCTACCTCAGTAGAGCCTCATTATCATAATAAATTGCTACTTGGCAAATATTAAAAAAGGAGGCTGACCGATGGATAGTAACTTGACTTTCATTTACACATCATTGAAATTACAAATGGCGACTGAAGCGTTGCATCAGGTAAGGCCTCTTTGATAATGTGTAAAGTATTATGTGGCATGAAATAGCCGATATTAATTTGCTAAATTCATTGGCATTGAGCATGTTTTTTGACCCAGAAAGTGATTTTCAGGGCTTTAAAATAAAATGGGTGTTATGAATCGGAAATTCAGTGGAAATTGTTCGATGTCATTCATTTTTATAACGTATACACTGAGTTATAGTCTCAGAATAACTTTTCAGCTCGCCACTTTTACTTTTACATTTATTTGTTATAGAATATTTCTAAAGAAAAAAAGGCCATGCGCATTGAAACGCCTTTGTCGTAAAGAATGCGTAGATCCCTTTCTGCTTCCCGTTTCTGTTTAGACGCGAAGATCAATATTTGATATTAATTTTCACAATTGTTTTAGTTTCACGAGTCTTTTAATTTTAAACGGACTGATGTCTGTGAACTGAAATAATTCCACATGCAGAACTACACGTACAGAAATAACCACGTGAGAGCTTTGGATAAGATAAGAAATTATTGAATTACTATATCACTTGAGCCGATCTTGCAAGACAAATCGAGGTCAGTCATAGACATACCTGCCAGTCTATCTATTTAAAGCACATTGGCAGGTGTGCTTCACTCTATTTGCACTGTATTGGTATTTAGATATGACGTCATTGTGAACAAAGGCTTGCCTTTGGTGACACTAGTTAAAATAGAGAAAACCCTGCAAGTTTTTGACATTCTTGAAGTATAATTTGGATATGTATAGATCTAGACATTTTAATTAAATAACTTTTGAAAATTTTTGTCAGACTATACCAGTAGGTGTTATATTTGAACTAACAAGTAAGTAATAATTGTTGCTTGAAACATGTTTTTCAAAGGTTGTAATTTTAATGCTCTCATTTGATCTGTTGTAGGTACTAGTACAGGGATAGAGACAGCGATCTTACAGACAGTTTAGTGTGAGCATCTTAACTGAGGTGGAATATTAGATTCTCCTGAATCATTTTGTGACAAGAAACCTTCCCTTCTTGTAGTCTACAGCTGTGAGTGAGATCACCATTGTGATACAACTGGTGTACAGTTGCCTTTTGTGGATTGCTTCACTTGTGGGGTGCTGAGACGATTTTCAAGGGATATAAAAAATTCACCTATTCCCACATTACAGTGGAGGTACACAGGAATTTCTGTATCGGATTCAGCTGCAAGTTTAAATTACTTATCCAAGAGGTCATAGTTGCTTGGGATAAAAACTGATACTGTAAAATAACTTGTCTTTGCTTTGCCCTTTGAACAAAAGGTGTTGTCTTGAATACCACAGTGTACCATATCATACCAGGTTGTACCACACTGTACCAGGTTGTACCATATCATACCAAGTTGAACCATTGGGCATTGTATCAGGTTAAACAGAGGTGTAGCAGGTTGAACCAAGTTCGGGGTTGTACCACATCATACCAGGTTGTACCATACCGTACCAGGTTGTACCACATCATACCAGATTACAATCATGAGGAAGATAAAGTTGAAGGACAATGATTTCTCCCTGTTTGACAATGATATATCTCCCAACGAGTACGAATTCTTCCAGAAACATAAGGAGGCTTTCAGGCGGATGTGGATTGATCAGGCAAGACTCTTGTATTATTATCAAGTTTCATTTCAGTTAAAATGGGTTTCAAGTTTTCTTAGGTGTTTGGAAAAGTAGTGCTTGTGCTAACTGCTCTATTTTGGTAATGTTAGCTGATTATAAAAGTGAAATGTAACTTCCTGTTTTAAGTGTTAACTTCTTGTTTTGACTGTAGAATGTACTTTCACTTCAGGGTAAAAAATTTTGGCTTCGCTTTGTGATCACGTTCCAATCATTTTCTGTACATTATGGAGTGATAAAAGAGTTTCCAGGCAAACAAGATAACTATCATGAATTTATAGAAGAGGCCTTTCGGTACATCACAGAACACTATTGTGAAGGTGAGTGGTTTCTCGGCAGCTTCAAATCGGGGGATTACCCCATTTAAAAGTTTACAACAAGGTACTTTTACTCTAACTATTATTTAGGCAGTATGATCCTGGCCAAATAGGTAATAGTATGCTTTTTATGTTTAGAATAGGAATATTTTTACATCGATTTAAATGTTATTGACTTATATATAATTATAAAAGGGAAGGCCGAAATGGAAACTTTTTTTTTTTTTTAAATATACTAAATGAGCTATTGTATGTAGATTTTATTAACTTCCTATTTCAGGAAAAGCCAACATGGCGAGAAATCTAGTTTTAGATGTGGTGGTGGTGGCACAGCACAGGCATTCACTGCAGTTCTTAGAATCTAAGTCATATGGTAAGTCCTGTCTTGTCTGTTTTTAATGAATCATATTTTAGTATTGGAGAGTCTTTAGATTATTAAGGTGGTGACACTCTTTGATTGTTCGGAATAGTAAATGGACTTAAGAGATGAAGAAAACTGTTCTCGTTAAGTTTCACTTGAAACAGAAGGCATTCCCTTTCAAGACTGATTTTTTGCTTTATACTGGGGGTTGTTAAAATGTTTTATATCTTCTGTGAAGCCTTTGTCTATTATTATCATTGAACGCTGAAAAGATGACTACATAGAGGTATTATTAGTTACCTAAGGTAGACTATTTAATGGTAAGTAAAGAACCCTGGCATTCTTATTATACACTATTTACTGGATATATATATTGTCTTATATTATAAAGTTTTCTTATAATTATACTAGCTCTCTCCTTCATTTTAAGTTGTATCCCCTCTATCTTTCAGCCAAGGATCCATTTTACAACAAGGATACAAGGTAATTGGAACACTTTATTGCCATGTGTATTAGTTCTTGTGATCAGGCATGTCTGATCCAGCTGGCCTGAAGTAGATAAATAAATGAATAATGTATTAGATATTCACCAAAAACATTTAATGTCACTGACTGTGTAATGGGGGTGATCTTCTTTGCTGTCCTTCATGATGATGATGATGATAAATAACACTTGACTTTAAAGTCTTTTACCAGATAGGCCAATTTAAAAATTTTAAAGAATAGAATAAGCACCGAGAAATTAGTTTCACATTTAGTTTTTGTTCATTAATTCTGATGAGGATATATTGTACTTCCTATTTCAGGGATGTTTTTCGGAGACTCTTTGGTTCTCCTGGTGATAAAACCTCCTATGTAAAGGTAAGTGCCTTCTCTGTTAGATGGACATTTTTCTTTTTTATTCATAAATGAAAAAGAGTAGCATGTTATTCAGAATTCAGAGCATTTTCTCAGTTTAGTCAGTTTGCAGTGTCTGATATTACATGATGATGTCTGATATTAAAACCAAATACTTGTTTTGTATATTGAGATTGTATTGTGACGTGGTTGTTCAATTTTATTATGTGATATTCAGACATGATTTTTCCCTTATCAAGTCAGAAATCCAATTTTTTCTGGGTGGTTTACCAATCCTAAGCGGACCCCAGACCCTTGGTCATAAGCCCACCAAGACATTTCCAGCTTCTGTCTTACCATCCAAAATCATGCTGTTTAATTTCACCAAGCATTTAAAAGACATAACAACTCTTCATATGAGATATGTATATTTCACAATAAATACATTTAAAACAACTCGTAGAAATATAATATTTTCTATTTTACCACAAAAATGGCAGTGATAGCAATAAATCTGAAATATTGCTTGCCATGTGACCTCCATGGAAAGCTTTACTCTTTTTAGAAAACTTAAAAAAAAAAAAACAGGTACTACTAGTAACTTTGAATGTGGAATTGGAGTCATTAACCGGTTGTAAATATGAGAAAATTGCTGTTTACCCCAGGAAAATTCTTTTTTTTTTTCCAAAATGAACAGTTGTTATCCCTTTAAACGCATGTTTAAATGTTTACTTTGATGGTGTATTTCTTTGCTAAGCCAGGTTAGAGAGATCAACTGATCATTCCAGCTCCATCAGTTTCATCAAATTCAACTTCATGAATTGATGAAGTATGCATTTTTGTTTATTTTCTTACCTTTTTCCAGGTTTATTTTTTGCTTCCACTCTACATCAAATTTGGTGGTTCTGTTTGCCATTGTCTGCGGCGCTGGCTCGACGCTCCCGAGACAGATCCAATGGACGATACATACTGGACTCCCCCAAAAAGTGAATCAAATTACTTTAAATATGTTGGACATAAAGAAAAACCTCAAACGGAGGTAGATCATGGAAGATTAGTACCAGTGAAACCTAAATATGGGCTGCATAGTTGTTACTTTTTTCCTGATGATTATGACATTGATGTAGAATGTTACGTACAGGAACGCCTTAATGGAGCGTACAACAAGCCCTTATTTGTGCTAGATTGGGCTCATGGGGATCCGCGATTTTACAAGGATCCTGAAAATCCTCTTTATGACCCCGCAGCACAACGGGGCACGGACTGGAGAGACAGAATAATGTTTCCTGATTACTATTATTTTCGGGAATATGTCCACAGAAAGTTTGGACCTGCAACAAATGTTGACAATCTTCTTGCATACGATTTTAATGCAAGTCGTCTAAGTGGTAACCCAGAAATGCGCACAGCAGAACAGTTGCTTCGAAATGCAGCTGAATTAGAAAGGAGACGTTTATTTGAATGTATTCAGCATGGGCAAACATATGAGGATTATAAAAATCAAAAAATACTTAAGGAAAAGGAGAGAATGAAAGAAAAAGAAAAAATCAAGAAAGAAGAAGCTGCAAAACGTAAAGCGGCAAAAAAGGAAAAAAAGAAACAGGCAAAATTAGCTCAAGAATCTGAAAAAAATAAAGTACCATGTGTTTCCTCAGGTGATGACACCACTTTACCAAAACAAGATGACAAAGGCGGGAACTCACCTATATCATCCAATCAGATTGGAGAAGCACCGGTCCGAAAGGACTGGAGCAATCCAACTCCAGAGGAAATTAGACGTTTCGATGCCATTGCCAAAGATCTGTTTGTGACACCTGAGAACGGTGAGCCGTACATGGTCATTGTGGGTCAGGATCCATTCAGTGATGAGCCCGACCCCAGCGGACCATGTGCGATGAAGTTGAGCAAGAAAGTGAATAAGGAAACGGGAGTCATGGAAATCAATGTGGAGAAGACTACTAGTAGTGGAACTGTAAATGTAAGGATTTACTTTTTTATTTATTTATTTATTTATTTATTTATTTATTTATTTATTTATTTATTTATTTTGTATAGTGGTAAGATTTTTTAGAGATTGAATGTTTTGAAAAGTTTCAAGATTATTAACTTTTCATGGTTAATGATGATTTGCACTTTCAAATATGTATTGACTTCTGCCAAAGTAAATGTTAATATATTAACGAACATTTATTTATTTATTTATTTATTTATTTATTTATTTATTTNTCTCTTGAATTGTAACTTCCTGTTTTAAATATTAACTTCTTGTTTTGATTGTAGAATGTACTTTCACTTTAGGGTGAAATATTTCAACCAACTAATGCTAATTTTTTTCTGTTGAATTGTAACTTCCTGTTTTAAAGTTAACTTCTTGTTTTGACTGTAGAATGTACTTTCACTTCAGGGTAAAAAATTTTGGCTTCGCTTTGTGATCACGTTCCAGTCATTTTCTGTACATTATGGAGTAATAAAGGAGTTTCCAGGCAAACAAGATAACTACCATGAATTTATAGAAGAGGCCTTTCGGTACATCACAGAACACTATTGTGAAGGTGAGGTGTTTCTTGGCAGCTTCAAATCAGGGGATTACCCCAGTCAAAAGTTTACAACAAGGTACTTTTACTCTACTATTATTTAGGCAGTATGACACTGGCCAAATACTAGTAGGTAATAGTATGCTTTTTATGTTTGGAATAGGAATATTTTTACATCGATTTAAATGTTATTGACTTATATATAAAAGGGAAGGCCAAAATGGAAACTTTTTTTTTTTTTAATATACTAAATGAGCTATTGTATGTAGATTTTATTAACTTCCTATTTCAGGAAAAGCCAACATGGCGAGAAATCTAGTTTTAGATGTGGTGGTGGTGGCACAGCACAGGCATTCACTGCAGTTCTTAGAATCTAAATCATACGGTAAGTCTCTTCTTGTCTGTTTTTGATGAATCAGATTTTAGTATGGAGGAATTTTTGTAATTCTCATTATTGTGATGACACTCTTTGATTGTTCGGAATAGTAAATAGAGATGAAGAAAACTTTTCATTAAGTTTCACTTGAAACAGAAGGCATTCCCTTTCAGGACTGATTTATTGCTTAAACTGGGGGTGGTTGAAATTTTCGGTATCCTCTGTGAAGCCTATGTCTATTATTATCATTGAACGATGAAAAGATGACTACAAAGAGGTATTATTAGTTACCTAAGGTAGACTATTTAATTGTAAATAAAGAACCCTGACATTCTTATTATACACTATTTACTGGATATATATATTGTCTTATATTATAAAGTTTTTTTTATAATTATACTAGCTCTCTCCTTCATTTTAAGTTTTATCCCCTCTATCTTTCAGCCAAGGATCCATTTTACAACAAGGATACAAGGTAATTGGAACACTTTATTGCCATGTGAATTAGTTCTTGTGATCAGGCATGTCTGATCCAGCTGGCCAGAAGTAGATAAATAAATAAATAAATGAATAATATATTAGATGTTCACCAAAAACATTTAATGTCACTGACTATGTAATGGGGGTGATCTTCTTTGCTGTCCTTCATGATGATGATGATGATAAATAACACTTGACTTTAAAGTCTTTTACCAGATAGGCCAATTTTAAAATTTTAAAGAATAGAATAAGCACTGAGAAATTAGTTTCACATTTAGTTTTTGTTCCTTAATTCTGATGAGGATATATTGTACTTCTTATTTCAGGGATGTTTTTCGGAGACTCTTTGGTTCTCCTGGGGATAAAACCTCCTATGTAAAGGTAAGTGCCTTCTCTGTTAGATGACATTTTTCTTTTTTATTCATAAATGAAAAAGAGTAGTATGTTATTCAGAATTCAGAGCACTTTCTCAGTGTAGTCAGTTTGCAGTGTCTTATATTACATGATGATGTCTGATATTACAACCAAGGACTTGTTTTGTGTGTTGAGATTGTATTGTGATGTGGTTGTTAAAGTTTATTGTGCGATAAATGTGATATTCAGACATGATTTTTCCCCTATTAAATCAGAAATCCAATTTTTTCTGGGTGTTTTACCAATCCTAAGCGGACCCCAGACCCTTGGTCATAAGCCCACCAAGACATTTCCAGCTTCTGTCTTACCATCCAAAATCATGCTGTTTAATTTCACCAAGCATTTAAAAGACATAACAACTCTTCATATGAGATATGTATATTTCACAATAAATACATTTTAAACAACTCGTAGAAATATAATAGATTCTATTTTACCACAAAAGAAGACAGTAATAGCAATAAATCTGAAATATTGCTTGCCATCCGACCATGTGACCTCTTTTTAGAAAACTTTTTAGAAAAAAAAATCAGGTACTAACTTTGAATGTAGAAATGGAGTCATTAACCATTTGTAAATATGAGAAAATTGGTGTTTACCCCAGGAAAATTCATTTTTTGGCCAAAATGAACAGTTGTTATCCCTTTAAACGCATGTTTAAATGTTTAGTTTGATGGTGTATTTCTTTTCTAAGCCAGATTAGAGAGATCAACTGATCATTCCAGCTCCATCGGTTTCATCAAATTCAACTTCATGAAATATGCATTTAATGTTTATTTTCTTACCTTTTTCCAGGTTTATTTTTTGCTTCCACTTTACATCAAATTTGGTGGTTCTGTTTGCCATTGTCTGCGGCGCTGGCTGGACGCTCCCGAGACAGATCCAATGGACGATACATACTGGACTCCCCCCAAAAGTGAATCAAATTACTATAAATATGTTGGACAAAAAGAAAAACCTCAAACGGAGGTAGATCATGGAAGATTAGTACCAGTGAAACCTAAATATGGGCTGCATAGTTGTTACTTTTTTCCTGATGATTATGACATTGATGTAGAATGTTACGTACAGGAACGGCTTAATGGAGCGTACAACAAGCCCTTATTTGTGCTAGATTGGGCTCATGGGGATCCGCGATTTTACAAGGATCCTGAAAATCCTCTTTACGACCCCACAGCACAACCGGGCACGGACTGGAGAGACAGAATAATGTTTCCTGATTACTATTATTTTCGGGAATATGTCCACAGAAAGTTTGGACCTGCAACAAATGTTGACAATCTTCTTGCATACGATTTTAATGCAAGTCGTCTAAGTGGTAAACCAGAAGTGCGCACAGCAGAACAGTTGCTTCGAAATGCAGCTGAATTAGAAAGGAGACGTTTATTTGAACGTATTCAGCATGGGCAAACATATGAGGATTATAAAAATAAAAAAATACTTAAGGAAAAGGAGATAATGAAAGAAAAAGAAAAAATCGAGAAAGAAGAAGCTGCAAAACGTAAAGCGGCAAAAAAGGAAAAAAAGAAACAGGCAAAATTAGCTCAAGAATCTGAAAAAAATAAAGTGCCATGTGTTTCCTCAGGTGATGACACCACTTTACCAAAACAAGATGACAAAGGCGGGAACTCGCCTATATCATCCAATCAGATTGGAGAAGCACCGGTCCGAAAGGACTGGAGCAATCCAACTCCAGAGGAAATTAGACGTTTCGATGCCATTGCCAAAGATCTGTTTGTGACACCTGAGAACGGTGAGCCGTACATGGTCATTGTGGGTCAGGATCCATTCAGTGATGAGCCCGACCCCAGCGGACCATGTGCGATGAAGTTGAGCAAGAAAGTGAATAAGGAAACGGGAGTCATGGAAATCAATGTGGAGAAGACTACTAGTAGTGGAACTGTAAATGTAAGGATTTACTTTTTTATTTATTTATTTATTTATTTTGTATAGTGGTAAGATTTTTTAGAGATTGAATGTTTTGAAAAGTTTCAAGATTATTAACTTTTCATGGTTAATGATGATTTGCACTTTCAAATATATGTTGACTTCTGCCAAAGTAAATGTTAATATATTAACGAACATTTATTTATTTATTTATTTATTTATTTATTTATTTATTTATTTATTTATTTATTTTCTTTCAGGAAAAACATGTCAAATATTTTAACAAGGAAACTCTCCAAATGTACAAGCCCTCTGAGGTGCCAGAGGAGATGAAAAAGAAATACGGGGAACCAGCCAGTGAATCCTTTAGACTGCGCGGGGACCTCGACTACAAGATGGTGTCTCAGCTTCAGCAGCTGGATCTCAACATTCCCCAGGAGAAACCGCACACGGCTGTGTTCAAGACCGGCCCGAGTAAAGATGAGGAAGATGAGAAAAAGTATGGAAGGAAAAAGAAGCAGCAGTCTGGCGGAGTTAATATTACCATGACCTTCAACACGGAGGATAAGACTGTTAATACACCGGAGAGAAAGAAAGCTTTCACTGAGGGTAAGATCTTATGGTGAACGTGGATACAGGGCTGAGGGGATTGTTAGATCTATGAATCAAAAATGCATAATATTGAAATGACAGGTGTTGGAATCGAGGCTTAATGTGGAAAGATACTGATTTTTCTAACCCCAAATTCTAACTTGCATTTGTGCATGTTATTGTAACTATATGTATTCATTTGTTTGTTTTTTCGAATTGTATAGTTAACTCGCAGTTTTAGAGTGCATGAATTTATTTAAATCATAACTAGTATATATGTTTACCATAAATCTCATAAGGCATACAGTCAAGCTGATCCACAAAATGTGTGTAGTATAGTATCCTTATACAAAAAGTATGTGTAGTAAATAAATCACAATTGATCTCATAATATCTCAGACCTGTTAATTAAACTCAGACCTGTCAGTTAAGCTGTCTTTGTCCTGTTAATTCAGAAATCCTTGATCTGCTAATTAAGCATCCCTGACCTTTCAGTAAAGATTTTTCTGACCTATTATTAATTTAGCTGTCTCTGACCTGTTAGTTAAGCTTTTTTTGACCTGTTAATTCAGTCGTCTGTAGCCATAGCATCTCTGATCTGACCTGTTAATTAAGCTTTTTCTGACCTGTTAATTTAGCCGTCTCTGACCTGATGAAGAACAACATGCAGGAGCCTGTCGACTTGCCCAAGGCATTACTGAACAGGGTGGAGCAGTCCACACGCAGAGAGCAGGCCAGGGAGAGACTGAGGAAGAAACAAAACCAGAAACAAATGAAAGACTTGAAGGACAAGATAGAGGATTGCAAACAGGTGGGTGTGGATGGGTGGGTGAGAGGGGTATTTGCATGTGTGTGTGTGCATGCGTGTGTGTGTGTGTGTGTGTTTTCATAGAGACAGGAAGGAACAAAATTGGATAGCAAATTAAATAGCTAAAAGAATAGAGAAGATCTAAGAAAAGTGTGTGTCTCTCTCGCTATGTGAGTGCGTGTGTTTGTGTGTGTGTTGCAGAGTGATTTGAGAGATTGAGGAAGGCACAGAGCTGAAAAGCAGTTGAAAGACCTGAAGGAAAACAGTTTTCAGATAGGTTTGTGTGTGTGTGTGTGTGTGTGTGTGTGTGTGTGTGTGTGTGTGTCTCTCTGTCTTTCTGTTTGTGTGTGTGTGTGTGTTTGCACAATAGTGCCAGTTTGTCCATACTTTTTTTTATGTCCATTAATTTTGGTGAATAATTTTGTGTGCCCTGAATTTAGAGAAACCAAGGGTATCAAATTTTTTGCACTAACTAACTTTTCTTGCAGAAAATAGCTGAAGAAGAGAGGGAGAAAGCCTCTGAAAAGGATTCAGAAAGCAAGGAATTGGAAGATGAAGATGTGGAAAGCCAAGATTTGGAGCAGGATGCCTCACCAGATGATGAAGCAGTCAAAATGAGAAAGGTATACCAGACATTTTTGTAGTGTTACATTTATATTAAAATTATAATGGAAAATCATGATGAATTTTGATAATTAGATCATGTGAAAAAGCACATTTGTGTTCGTGTGTAATCTAAATTTATATAATGGTCTGAAAGAATGTGATGCCTTGGTATAAAAAATAACTAAGTCTGAATAACCACCTCGAAAGAAATGTTCCAAGTTTGTGATAAAATTTTTCCAGTTAAATTTGGAAAATGTACAGCTTGTTAGTAAATGTTGTATGATACAATCTTAATTCTTTTCAAATCATGTATGTTATTTTTGTAATGCTGTGTACTATTTTATTATGTATTGCACTGCACTTAACAACATTGTTGTTTAACTCTAAGGCCACACTGGAGGCGGCTGAGAAAGTCTACAAGGAAGAACAGAAGTTGAGAAAAAAGAAGAAAAAAGAGAGACAGAAACAGAGGAAAAAGTAAGTGGCAGGGGAGTGTTTCCATACATAGATTAACAGAAATATCATGGGGAGGGGAGGGGAGAGGGGGAGTTCGGGGTTCACGTCATGATAGCAAGGGCTGTGCTGCCATACTTATAAACTCTTGTAGAGTTGTGACAATTGATAGCCTTATAGTAAGAAATGCAATTGTGAGAAACCTTTTATACTGAGTCTTGTCTCATATTAATCATTAAAACCATGGAAATATAATGAAAGCTACGATAGTAACCTGCATGATTTTAACCGTATTACCAAAGAAGACTTATTACTGAGTTTTTGTTAATACCTGTACATACAAGTCATGGCGAAATAATAACAAGATTTTCGCTGCTATGTGTAAAACATGAGTTTTGCTATACTGTTCCCCCAATCCTGCTATTACTTAATTTACAGAACCAAAGCAGAGGGACAGCCAGCTGAAGGTGGCGATGCCTGTGGCAGCAGTGGACAAGGGTCAAGAGTGGACGATGGCCAGACAGCCAAGGACAATGACCAGTCCGTAGAGGACAGTGACTCAGAGGAGGGTAGTGGGTCAGAGGCGGGTGGGGGTGTGGGTGGGGCTGACCAGCAGGTAGGGGAGGATGGACAGGGGGATGGACAGAAGATGGGAAAGAAGAAAAAGAAGAAAGAAAAAGATGAGGTGATTTTTTGGATTTTTATTCATAAAAAAGGTTTCATTCACAATTTTTCACTTTGATAAGCATAGCTGTATGTTGTGATGGTTTATGTTTATAAGACAAATTATATTGAATTACTTATGGGAAGAATGTGAACAGAAAGAGAGATAAGATCAAAAGTGTGACTAGAGATCAGGGACCTTTCCTGACCATAAACACACATAGTAATTAGAGCTGGCCCTCGCTGATCACACTCTGACCTGTTTCAGGCTGTAATGACACTGGACGAAGACACCAAGCAGGAACTGGTCAGCAAGATACTGGACAAGGCAGAGAAGGAGAAGGAGGAAGGAAACGTCATCCAGTTCATCCGCCACATGACAGAGGCAGGTCAGCTGCTCATGACGGGGAAGGTTGACCCGAATAACCCAGCAGAAGTGGTGGATTATGAGGCAAAGTACACTGACGACCCCAAGCCTAAGTTGGAGTCCACAGTTGGGGAAAAGGAGAGCAAAGAAGGTAAACACACAGTGAAAGGGTGTAGATTTACTTATATGCTGTTCTCTTTTGATTAATTTGATTATACATACATTTATATAGTTTATATGATAAACCAAACAGAGGCTTGTTGAAGCATTCTGTACAATTATATTTATAAGACAGTACGAAAGTACAACCACTGATTTTTTTTTCAGTAAAAGAAAAAGAAAGAGAAGTGACCTCAGAGTCCTCTGAAGTAGCTGAGGATGCCAGCAATGTGAGGAGCAACTCCCCGAGGACCAGCTCCCCTAACTCTGAGGAAGAGAAGAGGAAGAATGCCAGAAAAGAGTGTGCAAGCTGTGGGAATAGGGAACAGACTGCCAAGACATACAAGAAATGCCAGAAGTAAGTGATTTCTAAACTATTTTAAAGAGCAAAAATGTTCAGTAGTTGGATCATAGATGAAAATTATCAAAGTATGAAAGTTTTTCGGCTTGTGCTTGATAATTTTCATCTATTTTAATTAGTATTAGAAGGTTAGAACTATTAATAACAGACGTGGTTTATTTTTGCAATTTAAAAATAGAAATCGGCTTTCTTCTTGTTGGTTTGCCCCCTCAAGAAGCCCCCAGACCCCTGATCAGAGAGTCATGCACCAAGCTATTTCTCCCTACTTTTTTTTGTCAACCTAAAGTCATATTTCTAACAAGGATATATTGAAAGATTCTTATGTGTCCTACTAAAACTGGTTGCATTTAAAATGCAATTGATGATCAGATTCAGTTGCTAGTCAGCTGACTGTTCTTTCTGTGTTGTTTTCCACAGATGTAAGCAGGAGAATGTGAAGAATGCAAGATACTACTGTGGTAGGGAGTGTCAAGGTAAGGAATATACATAACATATCAACTACATTTCTCAGTTTGCAACAGGTATTGATGGTATTGTTTGTTGTATGGTATCATTACCTGTTTTGCAACATTTCAACTGAAATTCCAACTTTGAAGCAGCTGATGATGGTGATTATTCATGTGTTATATGATATTCACCTTTTCTTTTTCAGTGAAAGATTGGAAAATAAAGCACAAGGTTGAACACAAGGAATCCCTGCTGGAGTGAAGAAACAATATAGGATCCCACAAAGATAGCACTGTACACACCTGTTCAATGCTGTTATAAGGGATTTACAACATGTTCTGGACAGGATTTTGATGGGAATTCATCTGTGCCATTTGTTGATAACCTATAAGATTAAACTTTTTCAGTTTCTACACTAAATTAAAGCAAACACAAACTGAGGAAGGTCACGGAGTGCCCGAAAGCTTTATTAGGTATATCTAAGTGTAGAAAGTGAAAAGTGAAATCTTATACCTGTTCTGGACAGTGTTTATGTTTGAAACAGAACTTAAGTCCATATAAATATCAGCAAATGATGAATAATTTGATTGAAATTTGCATAAGAAAATGCAGGAATTTTTTACGCTAACTTTTCATTGAGTTGGTAGAAATTTATTGGCTAGTAAGAGAAAATTGTGTGCTTCAGTAACCTTAGACATTAGTTAAAGAGTGGACAATTTCAAAAATTAGTTCCTTAGTGTTTGATCAAGTGTGATTCTTTGAGCTTAAGAGTCAAATGTGTAGGAAGGTGCTTAAAATTATAATTAGATTTCATTTTTATTAAAGTTATTTTCTTTTTCATCAACACTCGCGAAACATTTAATTTTTCAATGTTATTCAGTGGTTAAGATGTCGAATGTATTGAGTAACCTGTTTGCTGTGTGTTTTAAAGGCAGATCAAGAGGGGCACTTGAATTGTCTTTTTGCGATGATGTGCCTAGAATGCATAGATGAGGTGATTATTTTCTCTGTACCCCCATCCGTCTAATTAAACCGTGCCTCTCCCAATGCTGATAATTCTGCCCCTCATTAATTTATTGAAGTTGAGGGTATTATGCAAATTGGTGCCAGTTTTTTAGTAAAAAAAATCTTTGAGAAAGTTGGGTTTATTATAACATTTATTTTCTAAAATAAAAAAACTGAATTACAAGTGGCAAATGCATTAACTGCAGATGTCCACAGTATTTATAAACCTTATTATTATCATATGCAATTTAATTATTTATCAAAGGTTTTCACTTCTGTTTTTGATGTTAATTTTGTCAATGATTGTTTTAATAACATAATAGTGGGTTTTTTTTCCAGCTTTATTATTCACATATTTCATGGTGGTGGGTGTTAAATTTGTAATTATGAAGTAAAACTTTACCAAAAATGGTATTTTGATTGTTAGTGGTTGACAGTATCTCTTAAATATAATAATTCATTTCTTGAAATAAATATCCTTATACTGCTTATCAATACTTCAATTGTATTCTTTTTCTTTTAAGAATGAGAAATTCTGTTGACGTCTTTTGACAAATGGCTTCAGTTCTATACAGTGGTATATGTTAGCAAACTGCTTTCCTCTTCTGGTCCATTTAATAAAATCTTGCTGAACTGTATACAGCACCCGCACCTGGAGTTGTAACCAAATCCATTTTGCCATCAAAAGTTGTGATGTCCTGTAATTCATAAAAGTTGGCCACCTACATGTAGAGGAGTACATTATTCCAGATACTGAGACTTGAAATTGCTATCGATACCCCTTGGTTTCAAGTTCTTGCCATTTCATTCTCAATTTCCTTTCACACCATCCATGCAGTGGCATGTCATATGTTAAAGGATAACTTCAGCGCCAACATTTTTCTACAAATTTCTCCAGTTCTTGCTCTATTTCCCTCACATCTGCTCCACACACAGTTCTGTGCACTGGGGCTTTTTCTACCACATTCCCCAGGGTCCAGTGCATAGCAGGTCTGGGATGCCTGGCGCCAAGTTCCTCAAACAGTTCCGCAGGGTTTAAATCCAATCTACCGTCATCTTTGTTAATGGCTGAGTAAACGTCCTGTGCAAACTTCCCATAGTGAGCTGTAGAGGCTATGACCACTGGTCTGTCTCCTTGGTTGAACCGGTCTGCTATTACTTTCCCTACTGCAGTGTGGGGGTCTAGCAGATAGCCTGGAATGACAGATTAAGAGTTGATGGGAACTTGGATTTATTACAACCAGAAGAGTACATAATAGATAGATTCAGTGAGTGTAAAAATTTGTGTCAAAATGGGGTTCTTACACCCTTGAATTGATACCCCAAATAAATTGCATCAACTCGCTCAAACTCTACCCCATCAATACTCTTGGATTCATAAATTAAATATAAATAAAACAGACTTGCCTGTTTCCTGAAATGTGTCCCTCATTGCACTCTTGCAGTCCTCTTCACTACACCAGTCAACTTTAATGATGTCCTGCATCTTGTTAACGAGCTGTAATGTAAGCAAAATATCGTAAAACGTTAGATGGCATTCAGACACCTCAGATAAGATATGTGTGTGTGTGTGTGGGTGGGTGGGTGGGGGGGAGGCTAACTGATGTGCTTTATTCTACTATATCAATAAAATCAATCCATTACATTTATATAGTTATTATTACTAGACAGTATAATATAATCCAACATAGTATTAGTAAGGCAATCAACTGAGCGAATCTAAGCTGATTTATTTCCATGTGTTTATATAATACCTCTGTTGGAACAGTGAAGTGGCCATCTTTGTCCAACTGGGAATACCACTCCTTGATCTGATCAAAGTCTCCATCAGTCATGTGATACAGAAACCTTTCCAGATTGGAAGATTTTAGGATGTCAATGGCAGGCGAGATTGTCTGGCGTAAGTGCTGATTTCTTAGATTGTACCTCCCTGTTGTGAAGAATTCCGTCAGAATGTTGTTGACATTGGAGGCTAGGATTAATCTGTGTATCGGCACACCCATTTCCTAAAATATACAAAAAAAATCAAATAAATGAAGAAATGGAAGACCAACTCAACAGCACATTTGATAGGTATCAGCTAAATAAAACCAATTGCTCAACTGCTCTGAGCAGAATTAATTGCATAAAATATTTTCATAGTGACTTAAAATGCTGCCTAAACATTAAACTTTATCCCCCCATAATCTCAAATAAAATTATCCCATTTCTGCACGTCTAAAAATACTTAACAACTTTCCTAACTTTATTTTTCACATAAAAAGAGGACAGAAATCCCCCAAATACGTACTTCCCCGAGCGTATCTTACCCTTGCATAAAAAGCAGTGAGAATATTCCCAAAGTTTCCAGTTGGAATACACAAGTCCACCATTTCTCCCATCTTGATGCCAGACGTCTGCACCAGGTCCAGGTAGGCTGTGATATGATACACTGTTTGTGGCAGCAGACGACCCCAGTTAATAGAGTTTGCAGCACTGCAAGTGGAGATAAAAGGAAAGGGTACTTATTTTTCAATAAAATATTCCTTTAAAGAAAATACATCTGAACAATCTCAATGAAGAAAATTAAATCAGAAAATGTGCTTGTTAATTGTGGTTTCAATAGAAGAGATGTTTGAGGCTTCGTTCACATGGAATGTCTATTTTCTAAAAATCTATTTTCTATTCGCGCTATCTTATGATCACGGTCTGTGCCCTGAATATCCCGCCGCGTAATTACTGGCAGCGCGAGCCAGTTACTTATAGTAAATTATAGTAACTGGCTCGCGCTGCCAGTAATTACGCCGCGGGATATTCAGGGCACAGACCGTGATCATAAGACATACCGCGAATAGAAAATAGAATTTAGAAAATAGACATTGCATGTGAATGAAGCCTAAGTATTTGACATAAAGGACTTAAAGGGAAAAGTATCAAAAAATTTCCAGGAAATGTTTCTACCCGATGTTTTTTGTATACAAACAAATTTATAGAATGAGTTAATGTATCATGATGAATCTGTTATTTAGCATAGCTGAAACCAATCTGTAAGTTTCAAACAGAAAACCAAAATACCCTTATTTCTGAGAAACTGTTGGGTTAAAAATATTAAATTTTAAAAAAGCATTGGTGTTAAACAAAACCTTCTTATTTCATTGTCTCACCTTAGTTTGCACCCAAAACTCTCCAAAAGTTTGTCTGCCATATCTGGGTTACTGATGATCTTCTTGACAGTTGACTGGCAGAAATCAAAGTCACTTTCTACTCCTGGAAACAACAATAAAATAAAAGCTGAGTTTTATTCACTTGACAACTTCAAATTGTGATACCAACAGTAAATGAATATAGTAATCTGCTTTTCAAAATACATTCAAATGTACTGCAAAGAGAAACTGAAGTCAGAGATGATAATAAGTTTGTAGAATTATCATGTTATATTTGACATAATGTACTGAAACCCTTTATATATATACTATATGTTTTTTGTAAAATCAGAGGTAGTAGATTTTAAGTCTGTAACTGTCATTGCAATATCTGCATTTGGTGTTCAATTAAATTATTATTATTATTAAAAATCAGAAGTTCTGTATAAAAACTTACCGACCACAGAAACTCTGTCACCAGTCATGGATGTCATCTGAAGTTTTTGTATTGGACTAATACCTTGGTTAGGATACAGAACCATCACTCCTACTCTAGGTCCTAAAATAATATCCATCAATACATGAAATTAAATCATAGTAAATGTACTTGGTAATATTGTTTGTGATTGAAATAGCAATTAGACTGATAGATAATAAGATTTGTTTGTAAGTGTAAACACATACACATGTACTGGCACACAAGCTTTGTACAATACCTAAGATGTCCGAATCTTAATACAACCACAGTGACTGTAAAATTATACAATACAGTATCCTATATTGGCCACAGGAAAAATTCTTGAATGTTTAGGGGCCTAGAGTTTAAGTCTCAGTCACCAGTTTAATTAATCAGACTGAGAATGGGGATAAAGAGGAAAATCTGTATTGCAAAACTAATTAATCTTTTGAAAGTTATCAACTGCATCTGCAGGCTTGTTTACACATTCAAACGGTAATTAAATAGAAATTTTCATCAGTTAGGCTTAAAATAAATCTTGACTGTGGGAGAAATCAATGTAGTTGCAGTATGAGGTGTCTTTTGTACCTGCGTGTTTTGCAAAGCCATCTAACACAGCCCCTCCTGTGTCACCAGATGTCGCCACTAGTATGAGATACCTGCAAACAGATGGAATATCATGTTTTACAACTAAACATTTATCCTTGACAGAGATCTATGATTTAATATCTGCAACAAAATGAAATATTGTGTGCCATGTCATATATTTAAAATTCTTGTAAATATTTTATTGCAGTGAAAATATCTTGTAACATGGCATTTGAAGTCATATAAAATATTATTGATTCATCCTACAGTGGTATACAAGTTTGTTTCTACAGAAGGGAGGATACCTTAAAAGGGAAGACAAAAAATCATATCTCTGAAAACAAACAATATTTTAAATTTTCTTTGAAGAACAACAAACAAAAAAATTATACGTGCTTTTTTTTCTCAAACAGCCAACCTCTTGGTTCTTTTTAATAAATTTTGATTAAATTTTGTGATTTAAAATCATCAACAACAGTCACCTTGTATTTGAGTCTTCTTTTGTATCCAAAGAATGCTGGAAGAATTGTGGCATTAACTGCAGTGCAGCGTCCTTGAAAGAGGCAGTAGGTCCGTGGAATAACTCCATCAAATACTGGTTGCCACGGAGATGCACCAGTGGGAATACCTTATGGCAATTAAAACTAGACAAAGAATATGCATTGTTTATCATGTTACCTAGCAACCTGGGGTGAAGGTCATCAGGATGGATCCACTTTTCCAGTATCCTAAGGGCCCTTTCTTGGTAACTGAGAGGGAGCAGCCGCTGAAGTTCTCCAGGTGTAAATTTTGGGAAGGCGCCATTTCTGATGTACAGTCCCTTATCTGGGGCCAAACCTTCTAAAACTACATCACAAAAAGATTTATGATTTTCTGCACTTCCTTTACCCAAATTAGATCTAGTTGAAGTATATCTGTGAGGAGGGGACTTAAATTCACCTAGTGACTTCACAATCTTATCAGCGATACTTTCTTGTGTTTCTCCATCCTCACACAATATCCTCAAATCATAATTTCCTTCATAAAACTGCTGCCGATACTTCAGTATATCAATCATGGGGACTCCCCGTCCCTGACCTACTATACGGTTGACCTTCATCCTCTCCAGTCTGTCCACGATGTTATCATGCTGGACGTCCAGAAAGATCACCATGCCTGTCCTCTGTATGTGTTCCATGGCAGCAGGGTGCATGGGGTTAGACCCAGAGAGGGAAATTATGCTGTCCTCTGCCCTGAGGTTTAAGAGAGCCTCTCCTTCATCTTGGAGAAACTGATCTCCACCTACCTGTTGCAGCTATAATGAAAAGATTGTTACTGATTATAACAAAATTATTTGTTTTAATATTTTGATTTTCTAAACCATCAATATCATATCTTTAAATTAGCAATTTTAATCATGTATCTTTATTTATTTATCTATTTTTTGTCTTTTTTAAAAGCAATCAGAACTTAAATTCATAAGCAATGATTTTTTTGAGAAACACAAATGTACTCAATCACATTAAAATTGAGAGATTAATCTGACATCATCAATCGTGTATTAAAAAAGCACCCCCCTCCCCTAACGGTCTGTGATGTTCACCTTGTCAGCCACGGACATATTCCAGTAGGATTCCAGGTGGTCATTGTCCACGTCAATCACTCTCTTCCCCAGCCTGTCCCCCAGCAGTCTGCCCACTGTGGTCTTCCCTGAGCCTGGACTACCCATCAGAAATATGTTGTTCTAAAAATTGAAAAATTATAATATAATTAACATATACAGTATGCTGTGGTATAAAATCATATAACAACGAGATGATTTCTCAGTTGATTTATGAGTTCATTTTGAAAGATGAACTCGAGAGATATCAAAATTAAAAGAAAGATTGATTTTCTAAATTATTTACGACCATTTGCCAAAAACTTGCAATTAAATATATTGCTCCACTTGAAAAACTTGAACATATTAACGGAACAAACCCCTATACAGCACGCAACTGTAGTACTTTTAATAGCTGATGCATTGTTACAGATATCAATTACACAAACATCACAAAATGCCGCCACTGCCAGTGTCAGTACTGTACCACTACGGTTTACGTGTCACTTTCATTATCAATGCTAGCATATATTATTTTACATTTATCTTCTCTCAAACGCATACTTTCAAACATGTTCCCCTTGACACAAAATTACGGCGTAGTGCCTGTGACACCCCTGTTGCCTTGAAACATTTTAACGCTGACAACATGTTTGGTTTTCTTTGTTTAAAAACGTCATGAACCGTCATGAAACAGCGAGTGTAGCAGCCAGGGTTAGCCGTGTCCAAAAGCCTCCATTTTGTCGATCACGTGATCTTTGTACGGTGTACTGACAGTGCGGTTAAGGACTTTTAAAAAGAGAATGATGTCAGCCCTGTCTCAGAGTAGTTTGCTTTTTCTCAAGGCCTTTTTACTCTGAAATGAATGCTTCTGGTGTCTGAATTCAGTTTTCGGAATTTGGTGTGGCTATTTGACAACTGATTTGAAGTAGCCAATTTGAGATTGTGTTAGTGAAGATTGTGCTGGTTGTGACAAAGTTTCTGGTGAGGAGTTGGCGGGTCTCCGGGCAACTTTAGGAGTTCTGTTCAGGATATCTTTGGGGACCATGATCACCCATTTATGTTTCAGCATGACAATACTATTCTACGTACAGCCAACGCAACAGCAGACTGGTAATATGCGAACCAGATCCAACCCCCCCCCCCCCCCACCGTTCCCAATGGCCATCTCAATTCTTAGATTACAACCTCATTAAGAATGCGTAGGATATCCTCAAAACTGGATAACTGAGGGAAAAACACTGCAAAAAATCTTTCCACTGCATACTATACTATATCTTTGCATCGCATATGGAACGCTATCACTGCGCAAACGTTCCAGAACTATTTTGACTCCACGCACAGACAAGACAGGTGTGTCCTCCAATCCAGAAGATACTGTACAGAATGCTAAAATATGGCTTGATTAAAAAAAAACTATATGGTTAGTTTATCCATTGGTTGAACAATCAGTAAATATTAGTGAAAAATCCTCTAAGAATGTGATTTTCTGTATCAGTTTACGCATTGCGTTAGGGTGACACTCTTTTGGTAAAGGGAGTATAGATTATAACTGGCACTCCTAAACACACTTTTTGAAAAATAGCTCGTTATAAGAATCCACCCGCATATTGTGGTCACATTAAAACCATAAAGTATTCACTTTATATCAGTGAAACATTTTGAGCAAATTAAAATTTAAAACAAATGGTGGTACATGAGTTTGCATAATGCAGCCGGCAGTGTGTTATAGGCCTATAATCATAAATGAAAAGACTGTATTTACAGTCATAGGATAATTGTTCAATGAATACAACTCAGCATTAGGACATGAGCGCATGGCCATTTTGTCCTGAAGAAGGCTCCTTAGTAAAATTAGACGGTAAGAAAATATACAGATAAAAACTGTCAGTGGAAAGATTAATTCAACAATCCATATATTCACGCTGGGAGAGACTTGCTTCTGAATCATTCAGATCATTACCGAACGAAACCTGTAGGTGGTAGTTCGTGGTCTATTATGCCAAGAAGCCGTGCACATGCAGTGTAGAATGATCGAGGCAAATCATAGTGAAAGAAAACGTCCATAATAGGCAAACGACAGGAGAGTTTCAAAACAAGAGACAACATTGACTATCGCCATATTTACAAAGATGGGAATAGGTGTTTTAACAAGTCGTGCTGGCGCATTTTATATTATGGGACTTGCAATCGTTGGTTATTTTATATATTTTGCCTTGGTTCGGTTTGAATTCCATATAACATATATTGCTATCCAGCCGTCAAGGAAAGCAAAGAAAACCGATTGGGTTCAATTAAAGCATGAAATGACCAACAGACGTAGGCCTATAGATGTACACGGCTTGGTCAGAAATGAAAAAGGTGTTTCTGAAAAGAAACAACTAAGGCGTACCTGGTCGAATTTTAGGAGAACAACAGAACCCTATATGAGTCCATTCAAAGGTGAAATCACCCACGAGTATCGAGAGGATGATCTTACGGAAGAAAAAGACTGGGTTCGAAATGGTATTCCTGAAAAGGAACAACTAGAGCGTGCCTGGTCGAGTTTAAGCCCTAATGCTGAAAATAAACGTTGCTACGCTAACATGACTGTGAATTACAGTTACAGTTACGATGTCAACGTGGCAATGTCTAAAACCCATATTATGTATGTCGTAATAGAAGAAAGTACAAAGATCTCGACAAATAAGACCGTTTTGTCAACTGGGGGAAGTAATTTCCGAATTGAGGTAACAGGAAATGAATCCATGGTGTGTCCGGTGAGAGATTTCTTTAATGGAACCTACGTCGCATATTGTGATGTTCAGTCTAGTATACAAGGTACAGTATACTTAGATTACACGGACTTTGAAGCGTTTAGACACCATACCAGTGGAAAAAAACTACCATACCCCTGTAGAATCCACAAAAAAATCCATTCATTCAGCTATTTTTACCACGAGAATACAGAGAAACAGAAGGTATTTAGAAACTGTGACAGAGCAACCATTGAGGAATACCTGCATGGACGCTGGTGGAAAATTGGAGGACAGTGGAAATGGGGAACTAAAGAAAAATGTATTTTTCAGTTTATGAATGAGGCAGACCTTTGGGATTGTTACAATAGAAAAACCACTCTCAGATTCATTGGAGATTCACACCTTAGAGCTACAAGTAATTACTTGAATCTATTGTTGTCGAAACATCATCATATGTCTTCATATGCAGGCCACACTACACCTAGGCAAAATTCCTCACTCAATATTCCCTACCAAAAAAGGCTTATAGGTCTGACCAATACTATATACATGTGGGCTGCCTTTACTTCTGATGGCGAAAAAGCAATCAGTTCACTTTCTTCTAGATTTAGAAAAAAGCCTGCTACCAAAGATGATGTGGTTTTAATGGGATTTGGGATACATGATTTAATCTTTAGAAGTGCCTCCAATCTTGTAAAACATGATTTTGGAAAGCTTGTGGACCTCCTTGGCAAGGTAAGGGAGGATCCCAAAACTGCAAATATCCGTTTACTGTACTTAAACATTCTGCCGAGGGTGAGGGGTGAAAGTGATGCGAATGATTACATGGTTGCAGCTGTTAACGAAATGATCCGGGAGAAGCTGGTAAAATACGGAGTAGAAATGGTTGATGGTTTTCATATTCTCAACCCGATGAAAGAGACCGACTGTGACAAAACACATTTTCTGTGTCCGAGAGGCCCACGCAAATTTCAAGGTCATGCTGGAATGACACTGGCCCACCTTTTGTTCAGAACCATATGCGATTCGTAGCATACGCTGGGCATGGCCACCCTGGCTCGGATCTAACATAAAACTTATGCTAGCTGTCCTTCTGGGTGTCACAACTCTGAAGATACGTTCTTCTCTTCTATAACAGTAGATACTCTGAGTTACACTGCCAAAAACCAAAAACTACATTTCATCATAATTAATAAATATTACTGCATTGTCATTGTCTAACTTTTTGGGATACATGTACAAGAATGTCTGGTATGAGATTTGGGTCTGTTATTAAAGAGTGAGACTCCCCAGAAATCGGCAGAATGTACCTGAGCAAGCAACGAGTGAGTATGAAATGATTGAAAATGGTTATTGTTGTCAGCGTTGGATTTCCTCATAGCGATTTTCACGTAAATATTTTGACCGCGAATCTGGAAAGTAGCATTTACGCACTGTCCAACCTAGAAGTATACAACGGTGTCCGTATTTTGAGCATATTTGTTGATCATTTGTATAAATTAGCAATAGCAGCACATAGCAGCTGTGCAGAAAAATCTTAATATTACCAAAATTATAGACAGATAATGCATGATAAAAGTTAAGTGGCATCCGACTTCGTATTCATCATTTTTAAAGCGTAAATGTCAATGCACCCTACTTCTTCTGGGTGAAAATATCATAAATTGTGAAGTCACATTTTTTCACGTACTGAATGTATGTAATTAAAAATACAGATTACAATTATAAGATTATAATATCTCTGATATTTTTGAGATAGAAATTTCATTTGATTAACTATATGCATTAAATAAACGTGAATGATTCAAACTATGAATATATGTTCAGTGATCTTATGATTTTACGTGATCTACTACGCTTTACATTAGTTATGTCAAATTGAAATTAGAAGATGTGCATTGACACTGAGGGTCCTTTTAATCGAGCTGAAAATATAAAAAATCATCAAATATTTATACTCCATTTTACCAGTATTTTTGCTTCACTCAGATAAGTTATTTAACTGCCGCAACCGTGGAATTATTCCGGTTCCTTTAACCTTAACCTATAGGCAGATTTATAATCTGTCTTCCGATTCGAACCCCCCTTCAATTTTCCGCCAGCGCTTATTCTGGCAGCCCTTTGTTGTCCATTTTACGCTTCTCTGCAACTATTCTTTTAAAATAGTGTCCGTTCAGAATTTTTTTTTTTATTGACACAATACATCACGAATACATGACAATACAAAAACAAACAAACAGACACTCGCTCACACACTCACACATAAGAGATGTTATGCTATATAACACTTTTTAGTTAATTACATCATACGCTAAATATTCAAATTGAAAATAACTTAATTATATTTGAATTGTACTGACAGATTGACTTATCTGTTTTCACCAGATATCTAAGCGATGAAATCAAACCTCCTAATGTTGGTTTACCCTGTGAACATCTTCTTAAATAAATATAAAATTTAAATTGCAACATAATGAGATTAATAATTGGAGAGAGGCTCGTAGAGCCGACTAAGCAATTCCGTTTTGAGACAGGTAGAGTAACTTGAGTATTAGATAATATATATTCTACCAAGTCGGTCAATAATTTTTGGGTAACCGCACAATTCCAGAATAAATGCTCTGTTGTTTCTTCAGCTCCTTTGCACAGGGAACATATACTGTTGTCGACCATTTTATATTTGAAAAGCAGTGAATTTGTGGTAAGGATATTATGATTAATTCGAAATTGGAACCAGTGAAGCTTTGAATCTTTTGTTATTGTGAAAGGAAGTTCAAAAATCTTCGGGCATTCATTTTCTTCCAAATTTAACAACTCCTTCCATTTATTCATACCTTTTGACATCTCAAGAACACCTACTTTACTTAAAGTTTTATAATAAATCTTTGAGCCTTTTGAACAACCTGAGAGCAACAATATATAATCAGGAATTAAAGGAGTGGCCATTTTACTTAATTTTTCAGGAATACCACCAAGCCATTCTTTTATGGCTGAGATAATTCCATGGTATTCGACAAAATTTGTGTCAATACCGTGGATATCCCTGAACGCAGTGAAGTCATAGAACTCCCCAGAGTCCAGGAGTAGATCATTAACAAATCTAATGTTTTTGTCATACCACGATGTATAGAAGACAGGTTTATTTCCAATAAGTATATTTTCATTTAGAAAGAGTGGAATGTTACCAAAATCCTTGATTTTATTGGCCATTATTGTACCACAGAGTTCTTTCCAGGCTGCTAAGGCATCAATCCAGAACCTATTTTTTATGTTTTTCAAGATTTTTGAGATATATTCTGTACCACATGTGATTAGTTTTTCAGTGTCTACATATTTGGATATAATATTTTTCCATTCTTTATTTTCGAACATAAGTCTTCTTACCCATGAAATTTTTAACGATTTTATAAAATGCCTCACGCTTACCATCCTCAAGCCCCCAGCTTTATAATCTCTTATAATGATATTTCTTTTAATTTTATCAGGTTTATTATTCCAGAGAAAAGAAAAAAGACACTTTTCTAATTCTTTAATCTGTTTTTCCTCTGGGTTTGGGAGCGATATAAATATATGGTTCAATACCGGCAAGGCTAATGTTTTTATTACTGTTATTTTACCAATTGGTGTTATATTTCTTACTCTCCACTGATTAAATATTTTTTTCATGGAAGTTAACTTGGTCTCCATATTTTGCTTCGTTATCTTACCTAAATCTACATCAAATTCTATCCCTAGCATTTTAAAACTAGTTTTTCCCCAATCTAATCTATATTTTGGGCAGAGGATATCTTTAGAGTATCGCTTTGACCCAATCCATATAACTTCAGTTTTAGAGAGATTAATATGCAGACCGGAGATCTTCGAAAATTTATCCAAGACAAACATACATTCATTCAGTGACTTTTCACTCCCGTCAAGTATAAGAGTAGTGTCATCTGCATATAATGAAATTTTTAATTCTTTTGCACCTATATTAATACCCTTTATATTGTCATTGTTTCTTATAAACGCCGCCAATATTTCGGCGCATAGAATAAAGAGATAGGGTGAGAGGGGATCCCCCTGACGGCATCCTCTATTAATTTTAAAGAATTCCGACATATTCCCCCCTTGATTTACTGTAGCAGAGATGTCATTGTAGAACAATGATACCCATCTCCTGACTGAATCACCAAAGTTAAAAAAGGTCAGAACCTTTTGAATGAATGACCAAGACAAGGAATCGAATGCCTTTTCAAAGTCAATTAATAACAGTAACCCAGGAATATTTTCTTCCTCAGTATACTGCATTGCATCGTATATAAGTCGCGTGTTCTCTCCGATATATCTACCAGCCATGAATCCGGTTTGTTCCGGATATATTAATTTATCTAACACTAGTTTTACCCTAGCAGCTATCGAACCCGAGGCGATCTTGTATATAGTATTGAGAAGTGATATGGGGCGCCAGTTTTTAAGAAAGTGGCGTGGTTTATCTCCCTTTGGGAGGCAAGTGATTATACCTTGTTTTTGCGTCACCGATAACTGGCCAGTTTCGTAAGCAAAATTAATTGACCTGACAACAAAAGAGCTTAGTTGTCTCCAAAATACCTTATAGAATTCAACTGAAAAGCCGTCAGTTCCCGGGGATTTGTTCGATTTCATTTTAGATAATGTTTGTGCTGCTTCTGCCTCCGTAATGGGCCCTTCCAATTCTGCAGCTTCCAGATTGCTGAGTTTATAAACATCGTTAAGGGTTACCTCATTATCTAGGTTAACATCTTCTATGTTATGCTCCCGGCATGCATACAGATTTTCATAAAATTTTTTGGTATTTTCTAGTATCTTCCCCTGGTTAACAATAATTGTGCCATCGTCTAGCTGAATTCTTGGAATCAGTTTATTGGTAAAATTTCTCGATTCTAGACCACAAAAATATTTAGTTGGTTTTTCGCCTTCCTCCACCCACTTAGCTCTAGATCTAATAAATGCGCCTTGTAATTTTTCTTTTCGTACTTCCTCCAATTCTTTTTGCTTTTGTCTTAAAGTCTGAATATTGGCCTCGCAAGTTATATTTTCTAAAAGTTCAATTTCCTTAACTAACTTCTTTTCTATTTCTGACTTTTTCTTTTTTTGGTAAGACGCATACGAAATTGTCTTACCCCTAATTTCCATCAAAAGGGTTTCAAAAAATAGCTGATCATTTACCGTAAAATGGATTTCTCTGTCCGGTATATTTTGGAAGTTTTTTAAATTATATACAGGGGCAGCGTACTGTTTTTTAACCTCTATAATTTTACTTCTAATTGCTTCGATATATGTGATATCGTGCAGTAAGGAATTATTGAATTTCCAGAAGCCCCTACCCTTAACGTACGCGTGGAAGGTAAGTGACAGCACTACAGCCGAGTGATCAGTCCTATAGCCGGGCTTAATATAACACGATTTAGTGCTACGTAACAAGATTTCTGAGGTTAAAAAGTAGTCTAGTCGAGCTTGCTGAAAGGGTGTTCGTCGTCGCCACGTATACTTATTAATATTCGGATGTAACTGTCTATACGAATCAATGAGGTTATAACTCTCCTTCATTTCCAAAAGTTTGTTTCTGGCATTAGGGTTATTTACATGTCTGTAGTTTTGATAGTCCTTGGCCGGATCTAGCACCAGATTAAAATCTCCACATATTATAATGTTTTCACACTCAAAAGTTTCTATATTGGTAAAAAGGGAGTCAAAAAATTCAGGTTTATCCGTATTAGGGCCATATACCGAACAGATGAGAACTTTCCTATTTTCTATTAGTGCCTCGAGTAGAATGTAGTTTCCATTTTCGTCTCGTTTCTCTTTAATTGGTTTAAATTCAAAATTATTATTTATCAGTATACCTACTCCCCTACTATTTGACTTATAAGAGCTGAAGAAACAATCAAAGCCCCACATATTTCTTACTTCGTTCTCCATTTCTTTCGTGAAATGACTATCTTGAATGCAGTATATATTATGATTTAAGTTTCTCAAGTATCTAAACACATCTTTCCTTTTGGCTCTATCTCTTAAGCCCTGGCAATTCAATGTGAAAATAGTCAACTCGCTGTCCATTACATTTACAGATGATAATGATAAGATAATACCTTAATAGCTGCATTACTATATATAGAATATAAATATTCTCCGGTTATTAGAATTAAATAACATGCGTACGTTAGTTGATAATCGATATCACACTCACTCACCATTCGCTCCTTCGTACATACATCAGCTATAACACAAATCAAAACACAAAAACATTGAAATATCAAAGGATAGAAGAGCCACGCCCTGCTGTTGCTCGGCATATATACCTTCAAATGTCAGTAGCTACATCAGCATAATAATACATGTAACAAATATATATATATAGATAAACCCGACGAAGAAATACTAAACATGTTACTAATCGGTCCGTTGCATGTCCTTCCACGTTGGCTTACTTCTGAAAGTAAGTCATCTCCACCGTGTACATTACGCAACTCATCACAACTACTCCAATGTTACCATGAAATAGATGAAGTGCACAGTAATTACCCAAACGAAGCGCCTTCGGGTATTTCGCTAGGATCTTTGATGATTCGTTGCGTCCCATTCACTCGTACTTTGAGTTTGTCCACTATCAATTTAGCGGTTTTGTCCCCTGCGGCCTTGGCTCTCTTCAGGACTGGGTACAACTCCTTGCGTCGTCGCTCAATTTCATGCGGAAATTGTTCTGAGATGCCGTAGTGGAGACCAGCTGAATTTTTCTTACCCCTAAGCCTGTAGGCGCTGTTCATGACAAGCATTCTACCTTTGTAGGGGTTGAATTTGGCGATAATAGGCCTTATTTTTCCCTGTTTGTTCTGTGGTCCCACTCTATGAATCCGGTCAATCTTTACTGAATGTCTTGGGTTTGGAATAGAGAGCTGAGTTTCTAGAAAGTTATAAAAAGCGTTCTCCGTTTCAGTGGGCGTTTCATTCTGTTTTTCCTCAACGTTATATATCAAAAGATTGTCTCTCATACTGCGTGTTCTCATCTCTAACAATTCCGCGTCTACAACCTTTTGGCGCTCAGTATTTATATTTGATTTATTTTCAATGACTTTGATCCTTTCTTTTAATTGTTCATTTTCCTTCTTCAGCGTATCCACTTCATTTTGCGTCAAAGTTAAACTTAAAGTAAGGTCACTGACTTTATTCAATAGTTCGTGTAGGATACTTTGGTTTGCTTCCGACATAGCTGCAATTTTGTCAATGGACGCGAGGCGTTTATCTATTGTAGATAGTATCGTTTGAAATTTACTCGTACCTTCTATAGATGGTGAGGTGTCATCTGGGCTGATTTCGCCCGAATGTTCGTTTGCGCTTGTGTAGTCTTCGAGGCATAGTGGGCTGCCCATCCTGAGTTTCTTTGCTATGTCATTATTTCCCGGTGAGGGATTTGATTCATGTCTTTGTCTCTTGTCAATCTGCAAATCCGGAGTATCCATTGTCCTGTCATTTTGTTTTTTCTTCGGAGTTCGTGGCCAAAATTTTAAACAGCTCAAAATTTTTGCCACGAATTCCCGATTGATCAAGAATTGCAAGATCTGACTACGATTATATACGAATCTGTTAAGAACTCCACGAACTGATTACGATTCAACCACGAATCCTGAAATTTTCAATTCCTGGCGATTCGTGGGATTCGTGGTCTGTGTAAAATAGGGGCATCAAAGTTTTTGACACTAATTCCTGTTGGTCAAGAAGTGCAAGATCTGACTACGATTATATACGAATCCTTAAGAACTTCACGAACTGATTACGATTCAACCACGAATCCTGAAATTTGTCAATTCCTGGCCATTCGTGGGATTCGTGGTCTGTGTGAAATAGGGGCTTTAGTATTTCAAATCGTTTTATCGTCTTAGAAAATACCTGCTCGAAAAATACGTTGCGGTTGCAAAATGCGTTTTCCAATTTTTCTATGTGACAGAGAAATAAAACGAAGAATATAAATTGCAAAATTAGTTTTGAATACTTTAACCGATTTTGATTTTTTTTCTTTTTTTTTTTTAAATTTTTTTCTTTATGGCAGACTAGTATGGTACTGCAAGATCGTTTTGATGTAGTTTTAAAATTTATGCACTCGATTTTTTATATCATGGAGCGACAATCGTTTTCTAACCAATCAAAGTGACAGCCCAGCTTGCATACATCTACTGGTAAGCTAGGCCTGTTTTGGCCGGACAAATTGTTTTTACCCAACCTCTGAAAATTAGGTCCCGTTGAGAAAGATTGGTCCTCAAGAGAAATGAATTTCAGTTTCAAGAAATTTATTAATCTTTTCTGTGCAGGTTATCAAAACAATTTACAGGACAATTTAGTAACACGCTTACTGATTTTAAGCTGATTTTAAAAATTATGTGACACTTATTCTGTCACATAAAATGGTATTAATGACCAAATTCTATTTTAATGTTAAAAAATTAGCTTAATTTTTTTATCTTATATGATAAATAATGCAGGAGTAAGGAAAAAAGTATTAGAATCATCTTCCTCTTGATTTTTTCAACATTTATTAAAAGAGATATTTGTAGCAGATATTAATTAATTAATCGTTCTGATCTGTTGCAGGCTAAAATTATGAAGTCGGTTATAATTGGAATGAGTTGGATAGTTTCATATAGTCGGCTACTTCAAAATTAATCGTGAAACTTGAGGAAGGCGTTGAAGCGGCCTGCGGTTTACAGCAGTCTCCTAGCCATCGCCGACAATATTGCGGACGCCGCTGTTTGCTGTCAGAGGACCCATCTCCAGCTGTTCTTCCTCCAACACTTCCTATTATGACAAAAAGTTAAATATAATTAATCAGTAAAGTATATCTCTATGTCACAAGAATGCATAATATGTTTTAGTAAATGTTACCAGAAAATAGATCCCAACTTTTTCCATTACATAGATTACAGAGACGTTAACGTTTGGTATTTTTGACGATATAATATACAGACTGCATGAAGTCGGTGAAGGTTCACTCTAAAAAACCAGCGAGAATCTACTTTATTAGAATTGGTCAGTATAATAAAACCAGACATTACCTGAGCAATGTCTAAAATGGGAGAGGTGACCATATCGGTTGGAAAATTATTCACGTAGTAGTCACAGAGCCAACTAGAATTAAATAAATAAAGAAATGAATAAATGATTATATAAGATAATTTTGTGACCTAGTGATATAATTGGTTCTCTGACTACTTCTACGTTCACACTCGTGACTCCTAAGTACCTTCACATCCTTTGACAACTTATCTTCTATCACGTGACCTTTTACTATATAAAATCTGTGCGCGCCAATTTCGAGCACTAGTAGGTGGAACGACTGAGGCTTGTGTTGGTAAGTTAGTTGCTCTGGTATTTCTTTCTGATCGTATTTCCTATCATATTTACTATAGATGTATTTTCCACTACTCTTATTCAATTTTTTCTTTCAGCCTCAGATTACAGAGTCATCTAGTTTATTCTCCGTCTTAGTCAATTATAACCCCCTCTAGGAAATTGGGGTATGTACGAGTTAGCGCTGTGTAAATCTATATACTTGTCATTTATAGCAAGACTAGTATTTCTTAATTTAACAAAAACATGTTAAATTGTCAGTAAGATTGTCAGTATAATTGTCTGTATAATTTATTTATTTTTTACTATATTGTAAATATTGCTGTATATCTCTTTTGGGGTTTTTATTTTATACTATTTTGGTTTGGAAGTCAGAATGAACTAAACTTTGAACCAGCCACCTGGGTTTAGTTAATTATTCCCGGTAACAATCTAAAAAATGAATATGGTGATAGAATATAGATTCATTTCAAAATTTATAATTTATGAGAATGAAAATTAAGTGATTTTTCTAAAAGAAATGGTTAAGAAAAGTAAAATAAATATGTAGCCTTGCAGGAAGAAAAATGTTGATGAAATAGGTACCGATGACTGAAAAGGCCAGTCATGCTGTCAATTCTCTGCTCCATATTGCTGAAATGTAACAGAGAGAAATAGTTCAATCTGAGTTGACAGTTTATTATGAGAAAAGATGGGGAGAATTGAAGATGACTGCAAACGATTTCTACGAAGTAAACATAATTTAAAAACAAAAAGTGCATTGTGTGATGCTTAAACGGCGTAGATTTGGCCACGATATTCCATTAAATAATTTACAGCCCAAATATTTACAAATCGTAATGTATAATTGCCTACCAGACTAATCTGTCAATCAGATCCCTGAAGACGTGCTCTGTATCTGTGTAGATGATAGTGCCTTGGAGGATTTTGCTTCTGGCTTCTGCTCTAGTTGGCAATTCAGTCCAAAGTGGGTGTCTAAATAAATCGAGTAAAATTGTCACAAAACGTCTAAAACGTTCCAACATTTTGTACAATTCTAATGTAAGTAAATGTCTTGATACCCCCATGGCCTGATATTTTCTAATAGAGAAGATTAACACTTCAAAGCCATTATTTACAGAACTGCATCCTTTGCTTACTTACCTTCCCTCCATTAATTCGAACAACATGACACCCAAGGCGTAATAATCTGCTCTCCACGAGGGGACACCACCCCTCAATACCTCTGGAGGCATGTTTTTGTAAAGGGTCCCTATTGCGTCCCTAAGAAATAAATTAAAGGAACTATCAGTATACTATTCTTGTAAACATTTAATGAAAAATGTTTTGTTGAAAAACGTATTCCTTATGAAATGAATAAGTTAAGAATTAAGCTATATAAAATTACATTAAAAAATCGANTCACGTGCATGCGCCCTAAATGGAAAACGAGCGTTTTTACAAGATTGAAGGAAATCTTTAGACTAATCTAGATTTTACTTGTTAAACTTGAAAGTGGATACCGAGCTGATTTGGGTTGAAAATGATTTCATTTTATCGAAAGCAAGAAACACGATCAATGTAGAGTCTGAAATGATGAAACAAGTTACAATATTAGCAGGAATGAGGGGGTTTGTTTACATCCACAACCATCGATGTATTTGTGAAAAAATGTTAGATCAACATGTATAGAGTCTAAATCGAGATCAGACATTGTGAATAACACATGAAGCCGAGAGCGGATGGCAGACGGCCTTAAAAAGGCCACGAATAAACGTAAGTTCATAATTTTTTATATCAAATATGAAGTTTGGGAACTTGTAAACGGTAGCACTCCAAATTTATTAGGCCATAGCATGCGTGGCATAGCGTGTTCGATACATTGTAGCAGATGCTAAAATTTGCGTGGTAACAGGAATTGTTTACGTTCTACATGCTGGGTACATGTACAAAGGCAACCTTACAATATCACGATCTTCTCTTTGATGAATTCACATGATTTGGTACATTCAGCCATTCGTTCATTGAAAAAAAAAAAAAAAAAAAACAGTACACTAATATTTACATGTCAGATGTAGGCCTACAACATTTACCCTTTCCTCATATAATAATGAAATAATAATA